CAGATGTAAAATACTTCTGGTCCACTACTCAAGGGCATGGAGGGAACTTTAATATAAGAATCAGCATAAACCTAGTTGAAGAAAAATAGACACTAAAGCAGTAACTAGGTCACATTAACCCATGTGTCCTCTGAAATATGAAGGTATGAACCACCATTTAGAAACCAATCATGGGCTAGTTATGTGGAAAATATTGTGAAAGTTACAAGAGATGTTAATAATCTTTTATTACCCCTGAGGCTGTAACTAACTCAGAAGGAAGCATATCAATTGCTTATTATTTTCTACGATGATAGAATCTAAGAAGTTGCTGATACTGCTTTTGTGCAGACTGACAGGTCCTTGACTGGATCACTTTGAGTAAACTGAATCACATGGTGCTTCTCTCATTTTAGAACAAGGTATAATGCACTGGAGTTTTGCAATATTTGGGATTTTTTTGTGGTTTATTTGGGGGTTTGGTTTGTTTGTGGTTGTTTTGGGTTTTTTTTCCCCTGGGAACTATCCATCCTGCATAGGGAGATGAAGACAGTGATCATTAAGTTTGCCTTGCAAGATAAATCCTGTAGCACATGCATAGGAATAACCTTCTATGACATGATCACAAGACGTCCTTTCCTTCATTCCATACACAAGATAGATGACACGAGGCAAAGAATCTGGGAGGTGTAAAAAGAGAACAGTACAAAAAGAGAAGCTGTGTGGTGGAAACCAGTGAGTGTAAAATTCAAGATTACATTGCAATACATGCACAATGGGGAACAAAGTAATCTTAATTTATACTTCCACTGACTTTATAAAACTGACTTTGAAGTCCTGTTGATTTTTAAATGTAATCAATATGCAAGATGTTACTTGTTAAGGAATCACTAGAGTCATTCTAGTGTGCTAAAAGAGCTCTGCTTAAACAACTACTATTTGGACACATCCATCCCAAATTGGAGGTACCAATTTGGGAAGTTCCTATAATGCTGTCTCCCATTCTGGAAAAAAAAACAAGGACATTTTAAACAATACCAGCCAAAAAAATTAATTCAAGCTGTATGTTTCAGGCACAGGAGTATGAGTAATTGAGCAAGAGCTTTTAGAACTTGATTCCAGGACAAACAATGTCACCTTTGGGTCTGCTGCTGCAGCATTTCTGAGAGAGGGTTTGCCCTTCTGTGAAACAACTTCGGTTCAGGTTGTGACAGTCTGATCATGCTTGCCCTGTTCTTACAAAAACTATTTGCTGGTGCTGTGAAAAGACCAGGGAAGAAGAGAGCACCTATTCTGCAACACCTCTGTGTTTGGAATCCTTCATTCTGTCCTTAGAAGATACCCTTCTGGCAGATCTCTTGCAACAAAAGGCATCCTTATTGAGGAACAAAGGCATGTATTCAAGGAGTTAATGCAATCATTCCCTAATTAATTTTTCTTATATAATAAGCAAGTCCTAATGAACAAAGACATTTAATTGGGGCACAAATTGATAAGTACTACACATACATCCACAGCATTTTCAGAACTATGAATGTTTGTAGGAGAAAAAGAAGTGAAACATTTTAAATTAAATTACAAAATTCTGTCAAGAAAAGAAGATATTCACACACACATCCCAAGGTCTGCTCAGTGCTTCATTTGAAAATACCCCATGTGGAGAGAAAAAAGTGATTGAAACACTTTCACAGATGAAATGGGAACACTGATTTTTCATCCGGAGCATCACAGATGTTTTCAGAACTGAAAACTGTCAAAGTTAACTATATAAGGGCTTACCCCAGATCTTAAATATATTTCCATAAATAAGATAAGTTTGCTTAGAAATACTGTAGGGGGTGTTCCTTTCAACATGTTTGCAGTTATTGTATTTTACCTTGTTTGTCCTGCCCTGGTAGTTACTGTATCAAGCTCCTAAGCAAAAAACTTTTCATTTTTTCACGCCACTGAAATTAAGTTAGAAACCACCTCCTGGCAAGGTTTAGAAAAACGTTTCTGTATCTGATTGCTGCTGCAAATAGACAGATCCACAGAAGTTTTCTCTGAATAGCACATTTCTTTTTGCCACCTTCTCATGAAAGAATAGACAGCAGCCCTGGCACACACTGCGGTGTCCCCTTGGCCCCTCTAAAAGCACAGACTGAGTGCTGCACTGTAGGTGTAGGTTTCACTGCCTACAGTCCTTGGCAAGTCCTCTTGTGAGTGAAGTACATAGATTTCCTGATTGATTCATAAGGTAAATGATAGCTTTGGGGAAAGGAAAGGGACAAAAAGCTCTTCTAATATTCTGTTCCTGCACTAGATGAAAAATTATGCCACTCTGGATGACACATACATTATGGGTCAAATGGATTTAGCCTCTACTCACTCAAAATTATCTTCTGGAAGAAGACTACTTAGAAATTTTACATACTCCCCCCACTGCCTTACATTGAAAAAGGAAAAATAGATTATGTGTACACAAACATACGAATCTACAGTCACAATTTTTGTGCTAAGTCAGAAACAAAGGACGTGCACAACAGCTGGCATTCACTGTGCCTGTCAGTAGATAACCATGAATGATTTAGTTTTCCAATGAGCTCTGAAGTCCATTGTAAAAGACTGCTAGGGAAAATCAATACCTGCAAGATAAATGGCAGTCCGTGGATTAGAAAGAGTAGTACTGAACCACCATTCCTCAAAAAAGAGAGTTTAAACATGCAGTACCTGTGGTGCATAGCAACACAACTTTATATAACTGTAAAGAATTCCAAGAGAGGAAGTAAGGAAGTAGCCTGAGTTGACAATATTCGCTGATTACCCCAGTCCCTTCTCCCCTCCCCTAGAAGTTCAGAGAGGAATGACAGGTGTGAAGAACAAAAACTGGGAATTAGGCAAACAGAATGTAACCTAGATAGATTAAGACTGTGTACAAAGGCAAAACAAACTACATATCCAAATTCCTCTGTCTCTACAGGTTACTGCAACTCAGAAATTCAATAATGCTACCAGTAAGTAAATAATATTGTTCGATTGTACAACCACAGCATCCCTAAAGAAAAGGTTCTCAGAGTCTTTATGTACAGTTCTGTGAAAAAGCTCACTTACGAAATGAACACAGCTGGAAAGTAGAAAACTCAGTAACAAATAAAATTATTGAATGTATCAGAAAGAGGATGGAAAAAAATGAATTGTATGTCTAGAAGTTGAGAATGACACACTGTTTTCTTCAAATTGTATTGTGTTTTGGCGCTGCACTTTAAACATACCTGGATTATTTTAAATCTTTTTTCTCTTTGTACACATACATGTACCTCCCCCAACCTATACACATGCACAACCCCACATCTCCCTCATAAATGCACAATTTTCACATGCACGTTTTGCAATGAGCTGGCAATATTTGCTACTGTTTATAACAATTTTTGGACTGCTGACATTGGAAAGAAGCTGGCTGATATGTTGCCTTGTAACCATCACACAGCACCACATGCTGTAGTAGCACAAGGCCTGTCAGCAAGACGTGTTCACAAGACATGAAGAAAAAAACCTCCTCTTGCTGTTTTAACTTCAAACCGAAGGTGAGTTTGTGCAATGAAACACTTGGCAGCAGCTCAGTCGATCCGTGTCTGGCAGTGGTGACACTACTTCCCTTTCCACCCCCCAACCATTGCAGTGACAAGTGCAAATCTGCACCGCTCAGGCACTGGTCACACATAAGCAGATCGTTATTGATGAGTTGGCAGAAACGACCCAGAGAAGTTTCCTTCCTGTCCCTACTAGCTTACTATTTGCCAACTCATTCCACACTGAATTAGCACCACACATGGAAACCTGAGTGGCTACATGCAAAATACTGGTTTTGGTGTACTCAAGGCATGTAATATAATAACTAAATAAACAATTTGTAAAGTGCAAGAACAAAACAAGCATTTTGAGAACATTCAGAACCATCTGATGAGCTGTTAAAGAAATAAGATCTGCAGAAAAGAGTATTTTGTTATTGCTGCTCTGATAAACATGGAGAAGCGTTGAGCATAGGATTTTTAATTTTTTTTTTCAAAAATCCAAGATACTCTATCATAAACTAAAAGTAACAGGTTCACGTGTCTCGTGTTGGCTGCACAATTTTAGACTTTATTGTTCTTATACAGAATTAACAACATCCTTCAATTTATTTCCTGGCTATAACACACTTAGATGGATTCACATCAGTGGAGAATCTAGGTCTTACCTGTCGCACCTGATTTTCCATTACCTTTTGCTTTTTCTTTTTTTACAGCACCTGGAAATGCACATGCCCAGACAAATACTCAAAATGGCTCTACTACTCACCAAACTTCGATCATAGGGTATTTTTGGTGTGCAAACACCACCCCAAGGGACCAAGTTACAAAAGGATCAGCCCTGTTCACAGTGAGAAGGCTGGGTACCACCTCGAGCCTTCTGCACGAGGGAGCAGCAACCATCACAGCACAGACCAAAAGGGTTCCCTAGAATTGTGTCAGTGATGCAGATTTAAGGCAGTTTCAATATTGGATATTAGAATGGGCTTGGAAAGCATACACTGAAACCAAATGTGAAAGCAAGTTTACTTACTGTGTTAAAATTTGGGAAGAATCCAACAGCAGAGCTGCTGTCCACAGGGAAGGACATAAAAGGTTTGATATCCAGGGAAGGCTGCATCATCAAAGTGGGTGTGCGCACGAGGGTGGGAAGTGTAGCAGTGCCTGCCAAGAGCAAACAAAACCAGGAATTCATAGTGTTCTCCTTTCCACATCACACACAGTACAGCTGAGACAACTGTCTAGAAAAAAATAATACAGGGAGATAATAAAGTGCCTCTGTAGGAGTTAATATCATTAAAAAAAGACCTATTTCCACACACTACAGCTGAGGCAGAGCACTTCTCTATGGCCATGGATATTCAGATGCTGAAGGGGAGACATATGGTATATAAATCACACTGGCAGGTAGAAAAAATCCTTTCTAAAGCTGAAAAATTCTTCCGTGCCAAAAAGGCCAGGATGGGTGCCCATGAAAGTCAGATGCTTTCACTATTCATGGTTGTCTATTAGATCAGCTAGCACAGATAATACACACAAGTTGAAATCCAGAGGTTTGTTCTCGCTGAGCTGTGTTTTTATTTTTTCCTTTTCTGACTGTAACTATCTGGTGCTGCACAAACACCAATTCTCCTAACATTTATCAAAATGCCTTCTGTTCTACAGTGCAAGGCAAATACTAGAAAACAGTCAACAGTTAAATAATCACCTAGCACATAAAAACCCACAACTTTTTACATGTAATAAACTAGCATTTCCTTAATTGGAGCCCAGTTTTCTTTTTCTAAACAAGGTCTTTCCAGAAATCTACATGCTGAAATTCTTTCTGCATACATTTCAGAATCAGTCCCCAGAAAGATCCTGAAAGAATGGGAAGGGACAGATGTCCAAATATTCATTTTTAACTACCTATCTGCCCTGCCCACATGACCGTGTGCTTAGTACACAGCTTCCAGCTGTGCCTCTGGAGGTAATTTTTTTCCTGAAATAATGCATAATAGATTTAAACCAAAATTTTCCTCATCAAAATTAAAAATAATAATAATAAAAAAAATGTCTTCTTCCTCAATTGAATAAATAATTCAACATCAGCTGGAGCAGGTATGGGAACATATGTGTCCCACTTCTAAAGGAGGGTGAATCACACTCTGCCCCTCCTACCTCTGCCAGGATTTCTCCACAATTACCTCCTTCTCCCACTCATTGGTGGGCAGCACACCAGCCTGGGAGCATAACAGTTCTCCTAGGAGTTTCTCTGGTCTCAAGCAGAGCAGACACAAAACCTAAGCTTTTTTCTCATAGAAGCCATCGGAGCATTTAAAAAACAGTCAGGAAGATGGAGGGAAGTAAGGAGAATAGTAAACAAGCAATTTTCCCTCTCTTCTTCCATTAAAAAAAAAATAAAATAAAAAAATATATGCACACTTTGCAGCCCATGTGGATGGATGCCCAGCAAGCCACATGGTCTGCCTGAGTACCAGTCATCCATTTAGGGATCTCCATTTCCTCCTGTTAAGAACATGCAAAATTGAAGATAGAGTAGAAATTTTCCTTCTTTTCATCTCATCAGCCTGCATCCATGGACACAATTTCAAACTCAAATGGTATCCAAGAGGAAAGCAGAGTTCAGAAGCCAGATGGGGCTGAATGGATTTTTTGGATGACCAAACACACTAACTAGCCCTGAGCTCAAATTTTGTAGAAGATGGAGAGACAGTAATTTTGATCACAGCTGCAGCACAATAAATGATATACTATTGTCTAACAGATGAATAGCAGGCTACAATCTCTTCTCTGTTTCTTCTATAGCAAAAGTGTGATGATTGCACAGAAATGGGTCACTGACAACCATGGAATAGTTGAATACCATCCCAAATGAGCTTCACAACTTGAAAGCAAAAAATATACTTGAAGACAGTGTCCCAGAACATTTTCTCCCTTCTCCTACCCAAATACTTTCATTAATGTAAGGTTTCTTTCTGCATAAGCCCATGAAACTCATTGACACATGTGTTTAATTAATTGTAAGACAAAGCTTATTCAAGTGGAGTCACAAACATGAAAAAGCTGAAGGTGAACACATCTAGAGTTTCTTCTTCATATCCACAATGAAAAAGTGCGTCAATAGGAAAGCAATGTGTCAGAGGATTTCTCCAAAGAAAATACTTTCAACTGCAAAAATGATGATTATTTCTACTACCTGGTTCTGAAACTGTAGATTTACATAATGTGTATTTCAGAGTTCTATTTAAACAGCAGCTATGTTGCATTCAATTACCCAAAGCCCATAATGTGCCATCATCTAACTTCTACAAATTTCTCTTTGAAGTTAATAAGCAATTAAAGATCCATGAAGTTAAAAAACACGCTGCCCTCTCTTTGTAGAGAGAGGATATATAACATACCTTTACGATGCTATAGTGCATATTTTAACTAAAATTTATAGAAAAAAATAGAACAGAATACTTAAATTTTGAGTGGCATAAAAATCAGAGTTAATGTAAGTTTCTGACGGATATAAGGAATAGAAAGCATTTGGCATAAAGTTTTAAAAATTATAAAACAATTAGCATCCATCTGCAAACAATGCAATCTTTTTTGTAATGCTTGGCTAAGTACAAAGACATTTGAAATATGTGTGTACTCTTGCAGTTCATAATGTTTCTGCTGTCGGAGTAATATCTGACCAGTAGACTACAATACATTCAGAGTCTGTACAGAATAGAAAACATACACACCTACCAGACTGATTAGTGAGGGCATTAATAACAAGAAATCTGTTATCTTCTTTTTGCCAGTTTCAACTATTGCAAATCAAATACCAGTGACCTTGTATGACTGAACTTTGATTTTCAGACCTGCCTTTGAAAGCCTCTGGGAGAATGATCAGATAAAGATTACCTAAACTACAGGTTAACTTCAGGTTAAAATCATAAAATCAAACTGAACAAGGCACACTTTTACACTGACATTGCTCCTGAAGGTCAAAATTTCTCATTTGATCAAATCTGTGCTGGCCTGAGCTAAGGAGGAATGCTGGCACAAGAAAGATGTAGCTGACAAGCTTCATTATCTTCATAAATTTAACAAATGCTTATCATTTCATTAGCATTTTAATGATAAAGACAACTTACCATGTCAAACACAGATTGTTTAAAACCACTTATAAATCTTTGGCATAAACATAGCTGATCTTTGTTGTAAATTCATTTGTTCATTTCAGCTTCGTAATTTGAAACAGTATTTTACCTTTGAGACTACAATTCTGCCTCCCACGGTAGGAGTTACCTATGTACTGGAGATGTAAGCAGCAGATAGACTTTGCCAAAAGGCACTGATCCTCACTCGTCCCTTTTACCCTTGTTTACAGGAAGAAAAACAGGTTTTCATCTGAGATGATCCAAAATACCTCATTTTATTAAAAGTTCTTCCTGCTCCTACACATATTTATGTGAAAAACAAGCCCTTGTGTAAGAGGCGCTGTTCCCCTTTAGCCACATATGTTTGGCTTCACACACTGCAATGCTCTGGGACACAAATGTTTTTGTACAAGTTATGAAAAGTTGTCACCTCAACCCAAATTTGACCTGTCTCTAACAAAAATAAGCACATCATTAATAGATTGAGCAGTTAAAGTGTTATTTTGGGAGAGTAATAAGAAAGCTTTGTATCAGTCACTGCTGTGGCTTGTGCATTTGGGAAAACTCCAAAGGGACACCAGGTTATTCACGCCCACCACTAATGTGCATTACACTGAGAGTTTTCAGTTTATGGACAGACTGCACTGGCTTTTCATCCCTGAACTTTCTGACCATTTTCAGCTATGAGAATTCCTTGCTTTCTACACCAACATTGAGTAGTCTCATCTGGCCAGGGAACAGTAGCCATGTAAATGATAGCAAGGGTCAGTTCTGTGACTGCTCCCCCCTTGACCTTTTTAGTGCAGCATTTCTCAGACACTGCTTGACCCAACGGATCCTTTCAAGGGTGGAGGGCAAATTGCTCCTTTCATTTTGTTCACACGGGCTGAATTTGTTATGAACTGTAACTACACCATGCACAGCCACTCTGCCTTTGGACCTCACACAGTCATCTCTACGTACAGTGCTTTCCTCCAGAACTCCAGAAGGCAGAAGCCCAGGCAGGACATATTTGAAATGGCTCCCTGGAAGGATTCTGAGATAATTTTGCATAAGCTTTTTCTGGGACCCTCAATTTCATTACAGGTTATTAATTTGTCAGTGGAAGTTTTCAGAAATATTCAGAAATAATTACTTCTGCATGTGGCTCAAAAAACAGTTCTATAAACAGGTTAGAAACAGAGGTAGTACCTAGGCTTTCATATTGTATACAAAAATCTCTTCTGGTCTATTGCCTATGCCTTGCAAACAACCTAAAAAACCCCAGAAACACCACCACAAAAAGCCCAACTAACACAAGACTTTCCTACACTTGTTTATATGCAGCTTTGTGGGAAGATTGGCACAATGAAATTCTGTTTATTAACAAGACCACCCCTAACTACAGCAACACACACACAAAAATGTAAAAAATCAATAGCTTACTTCCCTTGTATCTGATACTTCTACTGTATCATGCCCCAAATCTATCTGTTTTCACTACCACCTTTTTTCACCATAAATGACAGGTAAAAATCAATCACTTGCAAGTGACTAGATTTTTATAGTTTAGGAATTTATATGACATCAATTCCCGAGATCTTTCCTGATACTTAATACAAGTACTAGTAATACTAGTAATTTTCCTTCTCATTATGAAAAGTTTACAGGTTTCAGAAATTTTCTAATTTTAGTTACAGATTTACATGGGTATTAGAGAATGCAATGTGTTTCTGACTATGCCTAAAATAAACTGCTGAAAACAAATTAAGTGCAAGCAAAATAATTCTGAGTTTCTGAACAGCAGGAGTTGAAATCAAAATCCTTAAGGAAAAAGCTGTTCTAGAGGTATTCCATTAATACTTATGATGAAGATGAACCTTAAGACACTCTCCCCTTTAAGATAAAAAGCAGTGTAAATAAATAAACCATTTTTTTTAGATTTTTCTTTTTTTTCCCCCTCTCAGGATTCCCTCTGCAGAATAAAGACTGCTTCCTTATAGTTTGGCATGATAAATGAAACTTATGATACACTTAGGGATTCCA